AATGCATCATAGAGTCCCTGAGGAGGTTTTGCGTGGTGTTCTTTTTTGTGTCTCTTGTATTCCCTCTGTGGTGCGCTGCAGCTGATGTTGTGCTGTGTTTTCATGTGTCGCATGCTGTCTGCGGACTGCTTTGCCTGTCCCTTTTCATTGCTTGGAAGAGCCTGCTGGCTGTGCACAAAGAGAGTTTAAGAAAAATAAGAGAAAGAGGAGGAAGCATGTCCAACGATGCTGCTGCTGTGGCTGTTGCTTCGCCCGTGAAGAAGGCCTCACCCCGGAAGGCTTCCCCGAAGAAGTCGGCTGCGAAGAAGACCGTTAAGAGGACTGCTCCAAGGAAGGTGGCCAAGAAGCCAGCCACCAAGAAGCCAGCCACCAAGAAGCCAGCTACCAAGAAGCCATCTGCAAAGAAACCGGCCACCAAGAAGGCGGCGGCGAAGAAGCCCGTGGCGAAGAAGGCGGCCAGGAAGGCTCCCAGGAAGGCAGTGAAGAAGGCGCCAAAGAAGAAGTAGAGTCTTTCCTTTTTTGTCCAGCGGTATCGCCCTGCGGGTCGTCTCTCCGGTGCACCTGACAGCCGAAGTGGTGCTCTTCTGACTTGTGGGGGCGGTGTGCTGTACATTGCCCATTACTAGATGTTTTTGTTTTGTTTGTTTGTTTCTTTTGTGTTCCTCATCGCCAGTGATGGCGAGCTGCGGTTGCCATTCTTCCGGGTGTGCGTCGCTTGCGTCTCCGCGAAGGTGTTGTGGCAATGCATCATAGAGTCCCTGAGGAGGTTTTGCGTGGTGTTCTTTTTTGTGTCTCTTGTCTTCCCTCTGTGGTGCGCTGCAGCTGATGTTGTGCTGTGTTTTCATGTGTCGCATGCTGTCTGCGGACTGCTTTGCCTGCCCCTTTTCATTGTTTGGAAGAGCCTGCTGGCTGTGCACAAAGAGAGTTTAAGAAAAATAAGAGAAAGAGGAGGAAGCATGTCCAACGATGCTGCTGCTGTGGCTGTTGCTTCGCCCGTGAAGAAGGCCTCACCCCGGAAGGCTTCCCCGAAGAAGTCGGCTGCGAAGAAGCCCGTTAAGAGGACTGCTCCAAGGAAGGTGGCCAAGAAGCCAGCCACCAAGAAGCCAGCTACCAAGAATCCAGCCACCAAGAAGCCAGCCACCAAGAA